TCACCCATAGTTCCAGTAGCTCGTCTACATATTTCAGTGGTGTCAGGTGATTGTGTGGTATTTATAAGCACTCTGCATTTGCACGCCCAGAACCTCTCTATATATTTGTTGAAATGACTTGAAGAAAATTATTTACTTGAATATCTGACGTTCAATAAGACAACAGACCAGATTTGGGTGCTAAGATGTTTAATTTTGCTTATTTTTAAATTTAAGTTGGGGGGAAAAACTCATTTAAATCTGAAAGCCATTTTTGTCTAGTAAAAAACAGAGACTTAAAACCTACCCTTAAGATAGACCATATCTTAATTTTATAAGAATCAATGGATTTTTTTAAAAATACAAGTGTCATGCAGGTGGAGGGAGTGGATATATTCACATCTAATGGGTGTGGTGCACACCGTCTGGGGGATGGACACGCTTGAAGCTCTGACTTGGGCAGGGCAAAGGCAATATATGTAATCTAAACATTGGAACCCCTGTAATATGCTGAAATAAAAAAATAAAAAATTTAATAAAAGATAAAATACAAAGCAAATACTGTATCTTCCCAATGTTCTTGGGGGAAAAAAAAAAAAACCTCTACCTAAACATAGATATTTGAAGCTAAGCATTCTGTTTGATAATGTATATTTATGTGGATATATTTTAGGCAGCACTGTTTATTTCTGAAGACTCACTGCTTCTTTGGGGGAAGTTATTCTTTTCTCTAAATGAATTTAGATTTAGAATTGAATTTAGATTTAGCACTGCTGGTTCTGTGCACATGGTAGTGTTCTTTTTAAGCATATATAAACACAACGGATTTGCCGGGATGGAGAACACCTTGTGCGAAGGAAGACATGCAGGCATGATGTTTATCTTATACTAAAACAGAAATTATGACAAGGAAGTAGACAGCTGATATCCAGCATGCTGTTATCTGTTTTATTGTGATATAACTTCTGTTGGAGTCTGAGTGCAAGGTAACATGCTTAATGAGCCAGAGGTCCTCCAAAAAAGGAAATTCCCACTACCGGTCACCTTGAGAAGAGGCTGATCTTGCTTCAGGATATAACAATTGAGCCAGCTAGTTTAAGACTAGAAGAAAGAAATTCTTTGGTCATACTCCAGGGTCATCCTGCTAGGGAGGACAAGACCTTTGCATACGGGACATTTTTTTCTATAGCTAAGCCTGAAGATAATCCTACCAGAGACCCTATGATAATGGATGTAGGCCTGGGGATGTGAGCTCCAGGAGCAGCCACATATCTTGCAGTTCTCATTAGTTATCCTCTGTTTCGTACTTGCTAAGGAGAATCTTGCCATAACTATAATTTGATGTAGGTGTGCCCATGAAACCTTAGAGAACAGCAGTCGTCGGGGAAGTACTGCTTCAGGGAATACAAAAGAGAAACTGCAGTAGGGTGAAAATTCAGCTCTTTAGAGTTATTAAACTGGATGGTGGCTTAAGAGTGGAATTTCCAAAAATATTGAAGG